GAAACAGCTATGCTATTCTTATAATATATGAGTGTTGGAGATTAAAGATCTTACTTGGTTGGTGGCCTTGAACCCAACTTCACACCGTGCACCCAATAATCGTTCATATTCTGCTCGGCGAAATTTCTTCTCCATCCTCTCTGCTTCTTCTGTTTGTTCGGTTTCTGCGTGTCTTTCGAGTATTTCTTGCCCTTCTTTTGGTGCTTTAATCTTTGGTTTTGCGGTGCAAACGGATCCGCTGTCTTCTTGCGTCTTCTGGCTATAATTAATATATTTTTATACGAATGATTCGAAACATTCTTTTATTCATAGTATTGAATATTCCTTGAATGGTATCAATATAAATTGAATACGATAGGTTTGAAATAGCAGTTGAAATAAACTTTACGTATGCGTCCAGCCTGCACTTCGCACACATAGTGTTTCCGTTCGACGCAGCTTCGCGGGCTCCACTTATATTTTAACGTGGGATCGATCGTGACACAGTGCCATGCATACTGTTGCTTCGAGTGGTTGGATTGAGGTAGACCGAAATTTTGGAAAACCATTTTCTGCCCAGTCACTCCCCATTCCCAAGCCATTTGCTGCCAGTTGAATATCCCACCGATCCATCTCTCTAATTTTGCTGAAATCATAACAATACCCGTGCCGTTCAGCTGTCACAGATGGATACGAGTAATTTTTCGAACTGTCGATGCCCGACATTGAATCGATTTTCTTATCAAATATCACTTACTGAATTGATCACTCGACAGGTATTTTCTCAGCATTCGATCCTTTCCATTCCGATCGAGAATCGCCAGAGTGGCGTTTCTATCTTTGCAATGGAAATAGGCTTCTCTCCAGGGTGCCGTGCCTCCGCTTAAATAGTAGCAATATCTTTTTAATCGGAAGAATCCTATGGGACACGCGTATCGCTTTACGGCTTCGTTCTGTCGGCCAATCCTAGACCTGCTCGTAACTGCTGGATTAATACTGACATTGTACGGATGTGCCACGGCAGCCGATATGCCTGTAAAACAGAGGAGCACTCGTTTATTAATTATATTTATCTCTCCGTTCCGACGTTAATTTTAATCCAATTACAGTTTTCCCTTTTATCCATTTCACTTCTGTCGGGCAAGCCGTGCATTTGCATCACATAAAAATTGGAGGCAATGAATTTTACGTATTTTGCAAAATTGCCATGGCCTTTTCCGACTTAAGCATATTACAGCAGCATTCTCAGTCAAGGAGATCCTCAGGGACTGCACAACAATTTTGTCCGCAGTCCACATAAATTTCTTTCTCCTCCCGCATCTTTCTCGCGTTTGACGAGTATTAAACGAATGCCGCGCATTTGTCTGCGTTTTATGTGTCCAGATAGAATTGATGGCTACGCACAGCGAACGTAGGTAGAAGAAACACACTCAATAGCGGACCCATTACGTCATTGCGTCTGCAATGCATGCTGTAATATGCAACGAGGCCAAGTAGTTCAGTGTTACGGTCGTTCTCTCGTAGCAATAATTTCTTTCGTTCCGACGCTCTCCTTTTACGGATACAATCGAAGGGAATCAAATAAAATGTCAGACACGAGCTAGTAACAAGTTCACGTAATCTTCCAATTGCGAGAGCTTGTGTTTCTCGCCCTTGAACGCAATTTACAAGTTACGCAGTCGCATGCCTCTTTTTACGGATGAATAATTACAAATGTTCTGCATTATGTTTATTGAATTAACTCCTAGGACGTAAAATCGTAAAAGAAATGAGTAGAGTTGTTTCATTTAGAAATAATTTTCTCTTATTTCCAAAGCGACAACAATCCTTTCCTAGCGTTCTACAATTATCAGATGAAAGGAAAATTGTTGATGTGTATCATAAATTAGCAAAGATGCTGTTGCTAGCAATTTAGTTGTCGCTAGGTACCGTGGTAGCTAATTATCGTGTGAAAACGTATACATTTCTTATAGCGCCTGCAGTTGAAAAGCTTAATAGACTCTGGTATTTAACTCCCTTAATCATTTTCTATTTGCTTTCTGTCGATGGCATTTAGGTTTAAAGTACTCAGCATGAATGATATTAAAATATAGGACAACTTTGTGCTAATTATAATAATGGTGTAAGTTCAAATACTTTTAATTATTTATGTATTATTTATTTTTCGTATTATTATTCGTATTTCTAATCATAAATGTAATGATAATATCGTTCAATTCTTTTAANGTTTGATGTTGCCCGTTCTGCGAAGAGCGAGTGATATCATCCGCGAAAGTTATACGAACCACACCAAATGGCATTGCGTTCGTGCATGATAATTGCCAGGGTGGAAACGCAAAGTGCCAATTGTGCCATGCATCTTTCTCTTTGCTTTATTATCACAGGAGGATCCCCGGGGAACGCTAACTCTGGAATGGGTTATCAATTGATAGAAACTATTTTCATCATTTCTGAGCTGCACTCGGTTGCACGCAGCAGCTCGTTCTATTCTCAAACGCACTTTCCTTAAAACACGAGCACAAAATTTGTTACAAACTTCTGTACGAAGATTCTTTCATATATCTGTTATAAAATAATATGCTCTTCTGTTTTTTCTCACAATAATTTACCGGAGTGTACAGTAGTACTGATATACCAAGTTATAATAAGTTTTAGTTTTAAAGTGAACTTAGTTTGAAGCGAGATTACATTCGTATTTACACTATCTACCTCGGAGGCAATTTATGCATTCGTTTTAGAACGGGGACACATTTACATTTTCTTTGGTAATCGCAACTTTTCTTATTTATTTTCGACAGGTAACTGTTTTTCGAACTATCCGGCTTTAGAGCTACTCTAAGGCCGTGGGGTTTTTCATTCTTCGAATACCATTCAGGTTGAAATCATAGACACATGGCTACGTGCATGCTGGTGCTTTATCTGTCTGTGTATTCATGCAAAATTGCATCGGATGTAGCTTAGCTGATATTCCTATGCGGCCAGTGTACTGTTCAGTATTCAATGTAAATCCGGCTTTCAGCAGATAGCAGGAACAAATTGTCTTTTCCCTCAAAGTGTATTATGACAAATGAATGAACTCGACGTAGTCGAGGCAGACGCTTGTCAGGCTTGTATATAATTTCAGTTTGTTATTATTGTTTCGCATTTTGTATGAAGAATTATTAACATACATAAGGAAGGATTTTTGCATAGATCGGTTTTTTTTAGTAAACTTCTGTCTTTAATATTTATCATTCCCTCGAACTTTGTAACGAGACGTTAAAAAATAGCTTTTCATTCTATTTTATTATATTCTGGCTTCTGCGGTTTATATGTTTCAAATTTATTTCAGTTTTATCTTTTGTATTCTATCGAATATTCTATTTATACAGATTATTTTCAGAGTAACTGTTCCATAGGTAATCGATACAATTGGGCAGTAATTGTGATAAAAATAACTATTCAGTTAATTCCGAGCTCATTCAATCAATTCAATATACTGAAATTACTTTATATTTCATATCCCTTTTTGATTACTTCAATTAATAGAGACGAGAACGTATGTTTGCGTAATATACTGT